ACAAGTAAATTGCGAACAAATCGGACAAGAACTCCTTGTTATGTGAATAATCGAAAGAACACCCATAAAGCCTACCCTAGTAATTCCTCTGGTTCTTTCCCACGTTGAATAGCAGTCATCATAAGAGGACGGCCGACCTGAAAAATTACATGAAGAACAGTGAGCCCTCTTGACCTCCTGTGAATGCTAACTAATTATTTGCGGTTTCACTGAAGGCAAGTGGCACGGATTAAGGAGCCCCAGAACAGGCCCTGCGAGGCGGCTTTTCCAAGGCAGGTACCCTTAAGCGCTCTATCAAGCTGCAACATACCGACCCGGACGCCCGCTGCGCCGCCCACCCAAATGTCCGACCGATGCTGGTGCTCACATCGCTTCATTTCGGAAGTACAATATGAAACGGCTGCGGTGCTGCACGGGCATATGAGTGCATACGTGCAGCGCACCTATCATAGCGATTACTGGCACGACGATAACGAGAAACTCGTCCAAAACTGCTTTATGTGTCGTGCAGAACAAAGACTTTTTTGCAGGTTTTCGACCGTTTCACTTCCCTTTTTCGCCATTTCCACCACTACCAAGCACCCTGCTACCTTTTCAGACTGAGTAGCAAATTATCGTGCCTTATGGAGTACTACGAAAAAGACAGGGGAAGAAACATCGCCAGGCAAGAAATGAAAGAAATCTGAGCAGCAAAAGAGCAGGACACCTACCTGCGTATCCAAGATTCGAAGAATGGAATCAAAAGCTTTGCGGCAAGGTATGTAGTACTGGTCAAGACCAATTGACCTAGCAATATCAACCGTTAGTGGGCGAGTAATATAGGTTTTCTTTTTCAACCGTTGCATTGTCCCGCTTGCTGACGGACCTGCAAGGGAAATCTCGAGAGAAAATACAGTTACATGAAAAGGCCTGAAAGCTCTGAGAAAAAAGTATATACATTCTTTTGTGGACAATTACCATGCAATATAAAGCGTAGCATTGCAATTAGCTAAACTCACCCATTGACTTGGGCATTGCCGGCGGCTCATCCTTCTGCTGGAGACCATCAGCAATAACCATCAAAGCACGAATTCCTATGTTCATCCTCTCAGGATAAAGAGACCTTTGCGAACGATTACAAGCCAAGAGATCGAATATCACATCCTTGAAAACAATCGCAGTTGGTAACTCTGTTACGAGATTTTAAGAGCTTTAAGAAAACCTGAAAGCTCACCTTGAAAGCGAAGTCCAGCTTCTGTTGAGCGATGAAATGGATTATCTTGACGAAGATGTTTAAAGGTGCATCTCTAGGGACAATCCCACGATTGCCTTTTGGGAACAGACTTCCACATATCGATTCTAACCTTGTACGAGTCGCCGAGTTACCATCACAGTTGTTGCGAATCATGTAAACCCTAGAACGATTGATATAATCTCTTCCAGAAAACTTTCAAAAAAAATAATAGTCAAGAGCTTCTCACCATAGCAGCCTATATAGCGATTCCAGAGCCACTCGTGATATTCGAGAATCTCTATTCTTCAGATTTGCAAGGGTATTGTTCAGGAAAGGTACCCAGTTAGTCAAAAAGAACTGGCGTTGGCTCACACAGAGCAGACAAGTCAGAAGAGGGTATGCAGCCTAAACAGAAGTAGGTCCACTAGATCTACATCTCGCAAGACCTTGAGGGAATCTCACCAGCTTGTGTTGCTTCTTTGAAGCCAGTTCACTTGTTGGTCCATACAATTTGCCAACGAAAGCAATTAAGGCCGGAATGTTTGCTTCACGTTTTGATTTGCTTAAGAAAAAACTATTTGAAACGTTATAGCTTTTAAAGCGTCAAAAAAGCAATGCTCAAATCCGAAAATGGAATCATACGCAGCGACCGGTAGAAGAATCTCGACAAGAAGACCAGCTACGGCATGTTTAACATCCTGAAACGAAAGAAGATACGATACAAAAGGAAATACGACCAAGAAAAAGAAAAAATTTATGGTAACTAACCTTATCTTTCACCTCCAATAGAAATGACCCAAGGTCGTCCAGGAACTTAATTCCCATTTCAAAGTCGTCCACCTGGTTTGTCTGAACAAAAAAGAAAGGATAATCACGCCGCTACGAGCCGTTTCAAAAAACGCCATGTTCTCACTTTAATTTTAACGAATTTCATAGCCATGAGAAGAGAGATCAAGTTGTGAGTCACAGCTGCCGAAGTGTCTTTTCTCAGATCAGATAACTATACTCATAAATTGTCTAAAACAGCAAAAACGACTTGTTTGGCAGACCAAGTGTGCTAGAAAACAAGCGACATTCTCTATAAAAAAAACCTTACTTATGGATCTGAGTGAAGTGAGTTTCCGATAAAACACCAATCACCTCTGCGTAAGTTTCAGCAACGACTAGACTATTCGTGTTATTTACCCCCAACGTAGCGCTGAAACATTTTCGAATTCTTTGATACATTATGCCAACACGGTAAATACCGGCATACAGACAAAGCAAAAACAGAAACTCACGGATCTTTATATTGTACTTGTTGAAAGGAGCTATCGAGAAGATATTTGACCTGCTGTTCACAAGCAGTCAAGTGAAATTCAACCTAAAACGACTGTGAATGGCAGATAACTGAAATCAAGCTTACAGCTGCCCATACGAGTGACAACGGCAGTACTCAATTATGACTACCCCCATTTCCGGAAACATCAGTTTTTCACAGACTTCACTTCTATAGGGCCAGGTTTGGCCCTATAGATGTGAAGTCTGTGAAAAACTGATGTTTCCGGAAATGAAGATTCCGGAGGTGAAGATTTGATCCATGGGTAACTTGACATCCTAAGCACGAATTTCACGTCCGCTCGGCAGTGCTGTTTGGTTCGCGCTTCAAAAGTTATCACAAGAGTGCAGAGTTATGGGCAAAAATCAGACCCCAGACACATCACGTTAAACGTGTGAGTGCCGTGGCACAAAAGTCGTTGAGCTGGGAGGGTAAGAGTGTCCCCTGTAGCGTGATGGATAGCGCAACCGCCCTTTAAGCGAGAGATGCGGGTTCGAGTACCATCTAGGACCTGGCTTTTACCGATAACTCAGCATTCTACATCTACTCAACCCGAAATCGGCTGAAGCCCGCGCCACAAGCGCCGGCGTAAAAATACCCTTAGTCAGAAAATTCCCTGAGGAGCATTCCCTATCGGACCTGTAATGAGAGCTTCCTGAACATGAATATCACATGCAGGTATGCACCTTAAACCGATTTTGGTGTAGGGTGGCGCTAGATGTCGCCACCACTAAACTAATGCGATTTTCGTGACCATGATACCGAATTACCCTTACAGGGGAAGTTTCAGCAGGGAAAAAGCTTAAGTTTCCGAGGCAAAAATAGTTGAATAATACCACTACAACAAATCAAACGATGCCCACCTGAGGGAGAATCTCTATGAGAACTATACAAAATAAGTAGTTCACTGCAAGTAGCTTTTTTACAAGTTTCACACGGCTGTCGCTTCTAAAGAAAAGTTAATCCGAGACAAACTGGAGCTAAAGAATTACAATGAACAGACTTACCCGGGAGTTATGCTTTCGTTTATTTTGAGCTCCATTCGCTGATGCCAACTCTGAATGAAAGCGACTGCACGGACTGATGGAAGGCATGTTCAAGTTATCCTCGCAGGTATGCATAAATTGTCGAAATAAGGATCACCACCACGTTGTAAAGACTTGTTCAGCAGTTTTTCCTGAATTTTTTCAACATTACTGTATTCAGAAGACATGCGATTGACGAGAAAAAAAATCACTACAAAGCTCATGAGCGAATTAATTCGAAACTTTGAGGCTTTCTCTACGATTGCAGTGTTAAGAATTTGATTGAAAGGGAACGCTCTGAACAACTCACGGTCGGCTCTTCTTCAGTCACAGACTGCAATTTTCTTTCAAAGAGACTGAATAAATCCAAGAGAACCGATTGGCCTGCGAATGAGCCAGTTGGGAGGTTGTAGTCCAGTACCACCACCGGTACTACTTTCGGGAGACCCCATGGGAGCTCTGCTGCCACTGTTCTAGAACGTATAAATTGAAGACGGACTGATCCAAAGTTCACTTCAAGGTAAATACCTACAATTTCCGGAGCAGGACGGAATGGAAGCGCAGGATCGCTTTTCCGCCGGCCGTTTCTGTTTCGTTGGGTCATTCTGGACTGGAGCTGATTCGGCGTTGGTGAATTTTGGAAGACTTAAGCTCACATATGACCTGAAAACATGAAACACCAAAGTTTTAGCCGTTTGACTAAAATCGCATCATACTACTTAGACAATAAAAAGATGGTTACAGAAATGTTGTTTTCGGCAACAGAACGGTGCCTAAACAGTTGAAATAAAAATTCAATGTAGAAATATACTCTCATTGATTCAAGCTTAATGTAGAACTCCGACTTCAGTGCGTTTGGTCTGCAACTGCACCAATATAGTGTTCAGCCGCGTTCATAACAGATCGGCATCACGCGCGCATCCGTGGTCTCTGCGGAATTTTCAGAGCAGCAAATAAACTTCCATGTAGAAAATACTCCTCAAGGCCGTGGCCTCCGCAGCCTCGCGGCTCCGCGGCATCCGTGGCCTCTGCGGAATTTTCAGAGCAAGCAAAGTATACGTATCGATTTGGAAAATTCCGCAGAGGCCGCGGAGGCCGCGGATGCGCGTCTGTATGAACGCGGCTTACCAGATTGCACGAAAAGAATAAGCCACGCGCGTCACTTTTGGCTGTGGCGCTCATTTTTTTAAATTGCCTAAGTCACCAAGTCCGCTGAAAACTTCTAAATAGAGTTAATCTAACATCCTGTCACAAATATTACATTCATTCTTGTCGTGGCGCTAATGAAGGACACTACAATTCTTCGGTTGCAGCTTTAGCAGAGGACATATAATCGTAACGTTCTCATAAGCGGCGCAGCGCCAAGAATGATGTCATAAGTGGTAATCAGGTAGTTAGATACTTCTATAATAACAAAGTTTACAGCGGATTTGGTGATTTAGGCACTTTAAAAAATGAGCTCGCAGCCGAAAGTCAGCGCGTACGAAACGGCGTTAGCCGCAGGAAAATCAGCTGTGCGCTCATGAACAGCGCACAGCGTTGCTGGGAATCCCAGCATATGGGTCGTAGTTTGGGTTGGGGGAGCTTTTGCAAAGTAGCACCCCCTCCCTAGAAGTTTCTTTCTGCTGTACGGCAATCCTCCCCCTGCCATTGTATGTACCTGCCACCTTCCTAAAATGCCCCAAGTTCCTATCGACTTTTTCCCAATATTCTGGAGGTTCTTCCAGTTTTTTACCGTCGAGCAAGGGAAGTAGGAAGGGGAGTGGGGCGTGGGGGGGGGAGACGGGAGCGATACCTCACATGAAACAGGAAAAGTGAGAGAAGGGAAGAGCAGAGGACAAGGGCAAAATAACGATTTCTCATGCCCTTTTGTTTGGCCTGGGTGGCGAGCCGATTCGCGGTCGAACGCGTTGGACTGCGATGAGCCATTGCCATTACGCACTCACTTCAGGATATGCTTGCTGGTTCGTGCGACATTTCCATCAACACAACTGTCATTTGTCTCATGCGAGACATATATTGGGTTGCGCACATAAGTAATTCGTTTTTTTTCAACGCGGAATTTCGCGTCTGCAAAGATGACATGTTTTGCTAGCAAGCTTGATATCATCTGATAGGAAACTTCACGTAGTTTTAGAATATCAAAACGGCTTTGGTTGAGGGAATAATTTTTGTGGATTTTTTAGTCGTTGAAGTTGAAAGCGAAGTCGGCGAAAATTAGCACCTTCGACAACTGCCTCTATTTACGTATAGTCGAAGTGCTAAAATCGCTTAAGCTGCTCCATACATTTGGAAAAGGTCGAGCTAGAAGTTCCAGCAAGGGAATCTCACTAGGACGCTTTGGAACGAATTTCAAGAATTTTGAAGTTACCAACCTTCACCTCGCCGATATTGGGCAGCTCACGTCTGTTCCACCTGAAATTTTATGCTAATATTTGAATGTTTCGCTGATATGTTTTGCATGTTCTGATAGCAAATTTCATGCTCTATAAACTACTATAGAAATCTGTTCTCCAGAGGTGTTTGCTTTCTGTTAAGTTCAGGTTATCATTACGGAACGCGAAGTCGTTGAGAACTAGCGTTCCCGTTCTCCACGAATTTTATGCTAACATTTGAATATTTCGCTAATGTGTTCTATATGTTCTTGTAGCCAATTTTGTGCTCTATAACACTGCGTTGCAGTATTTTGAAAATCCATTTGATGAACCTTGTTTTTCAGGTGGATAATATGGAATGTCAGGTCGATAAGCATCAGCACTTCAGACATCTCCTCCTTTTCGCATTCAACAGAGGTATCAGTACCATTCTTGAAGCGTCTGAACCAATTTTGG